CAGATTGCGAGAGGGTGCAGGCTAGGCTGAGGGACCCTACTGGTGCACAAATCCATGCACCAGGCCTCTAGTTCAAACTATAAAAATTTAAAATAGCCACAGGGCAGACAAGAAAGATAAAATACATGCAATGAGTAAAGTTTCTGCACTTCACTCAAGGACCTATTTACTCTGATTTTACATTTAGAATTTATTCTTACATGAGCTACAGTTCCTACATGCATTTTGTTTCTTATGCGAGAGAAGTAGAGAAGCAAGTTAAGAGTTGGGGCTGCCTGGCCGAAACTGGTTTGGCTCAGTGGATAGAGTGTCGGCCTGCAGACTGAAAGGTCCCAGGTTCGATACCGGTCAAGGGCATGTACCTTGGTTGCGGGCACATCCCCAGTAAGGGGTGTGCAAGAGGCAGCTTATCGATGATTCTCTCTCATCGATGTTTCTAATTCTCTATCCCTCTCTCTTCCTCTCTGTAAAAAAAAAATCAATAAAATATATTTTTTTTAAAAAAGAGTTGGGGCCGCCTGGCTGGCTTGGCTCAGTGGTTGAGCGTCAACCCAAGAACAAGGAGGTCACAGTTCAATTCCCCATCATGGCACATGCCTGGGTTGTGGGCTCAATCCTTACTGGAGGGTGTGAGGGAGGCAGCCAATCGATGATTCTCTCTCATCATTGTTGTATCTCTCTCTCTCTCTCTCTCTCTCTCTCTCTCTCTCTCTCTCTCACTCTCTCCCCCTCTCCCTTCCTATCTAAAATAAATAAAAATATATTTCTTAAATAATAAAATAAAGTTGAAGAATATTCTAATTAAAAAACAAAAAAAGAGTTGGGGCCATCTACAGTCAGGCCCACTTGCAGGCACACTGACAGACCCAGAAGCAGCAGCTAAGAACCCTACTGGAGAAGAAAAGTTATTTTTTAAAAACTATATAAGAACTCAAAACACAGAGCAGAATGGCTCCTCAGGCATAGGAGTGAAGCAAACTGTTACTGAGAACACCACTGGCCCCTGAAAACAGTAGCATAAACATGTGTATGCACAACACAGTGTTTTGCTGCTTAGCTACAAGCCATTCAGCTTCACCTGCAAAACCTGGATAATGCTTCCTTGCCCTACCCACCATAAAGAGCTAAAAATAATTCATGTAACAACGTCTAAAAACTAATAATGTTCAAATATGTTCTGTGAACTATGTTTAAGATGACAATACACTTACATCAATTTCCATTTAAATGACTAAATAAAAAATTAGCAATTCTCTTATTACCAGAAAATCAACATGGTACCATTTTTTCCCCTCTTGCCAAATGCCATATTTTTTAAAAACTGTGACCAAGATAAAGAGAAAAAGCTTCCTAAAGCAAGAGAAAGCGTTTAGTTGCCCTTGGGAGACTAGATAGGATATATAACCACTCTTCAGACAGGGAAGACATTTCAAAATGATAAAGTATAAAATATGTTTAAATGAATACCCATATCTTAAAAGTATGACATGAAATATCATACCTATTATAGTTATAGAGCAATATTTTTTAAACTGAAGGTCATAATCACCAGTGGATTATGAAGTCAATTTAGTGAATCACTACCAGCAATTGTTAAGAAAATAGGCTAGAAATATTAAAGTGCATGTGTATGTATATACCAGTGCTGGGTCACAGTGTAAATGGAGTTGTGGTCAAAACGTCTGAAAGTGGCTGATAAGCAAATCAATGAACTGGCACATGGTGGTCTAGATAAAAACTAAACAACTTTTTTAAAGCACCTAGTACTCAAGAGTGACGAGGAGATGATAAGGACATACAGAATTCACAGCGGGGGCCAGGCTGAAGAAGAGAGCATTGTTGTTGTTTTTTAAGGCATGAAGCAGCCCAGCCCCTGTGTAGTTCAGCAGTTGGCACTGACCTAGGAACCAAGAAATCACCACATGCCAGGGTTGTGGGCTCGATCCCCAGTAAGGGGGGGAGGGTAATAAGAGGCAGCCAATCAATGGTTCTCATCAATGTTTATCTCTCTATCCTTCTCCCTTCCTCTCTCTAAAAAAACTCAATAAAAACATATTAAGTATAATGTTTAGAAGGTCATTAAGCAGCAGTCTATGAAGTAGGAAAAAGACAATAGCTCTCATTCTAGGAATACAACAGACAAATACAGGGAGGTAGATGTGAGAAACATACTGTTCTAGAACTTAGGTGAATCCACCCCACAAAATCCTCTGACTTCAGTCCTCGTTTTCTCATCGGTAAAGTGAGAGGATTGAACTAGAAAATAAACTTCAAGATCCTATTCTCTGATTCTGGTAGAATACTACATAATGAAGACGTAATAATATGCAAATGGCCATTACACCGTGAAGCGTAACGACCGACCATGTAATGACGGGATCATGGTTCAGCAGGAGGGCGGGGCAGTGAGCTACAAGTGGGCAGAGGAGAGCTACAGGAGGGGGCAGGGCAGAAAGCTAGGGAGGGACAGAGGGTGGGGAATGGGGGAGCTACCGGAGGACAGGGCAGCGAGCAGAGAACTACTAGAGGGCAGCAGCGAGCTACTGGCAAGCTACTGGCACACGGATTCGTGCGCAGAGCTACTAGTTTATAATAATTAAGTCGTGATAGGCATATATGGTTTATAACTCAGACCTTGTATTTAACAACTAAAATGTTATCTTTTGATAAACAATTATATAACACCTTCTTAATAAATAATAGGTTTTAACATAAAAATCAAGGCACGATGGCTAATGCCATATTTCAGCATCTCAGTTTACTATACCCAAAAGGTCTAGATGGCTGGGTCAAAATTACCTTCAGACAAATGTTACTATTCAGACAACAGTTACTATTCATGAAAAGCATATAGAAGGGCCTTGAAGTAGATAGATAGATAGATAGATAGATAGATAGATAGATAGATAGACAGAGATATATATCTACTTTCTTGGTACCATGACCCATTTGAAAGTAGAATTTTTTTAAATTACAGTCTTCACTGAGATACATATAAATTGCTAAACTCAGCCATAATCAATAATAAATGTTTTATAGACTAAAAGATTAGATGCTCCTAAGATTTATTTTTTAAAATGGTAGGAACAACCATTTTAGCTTAATCACTTACTGTGTAGGTAAAGGAACCAATTTGTTCCTTCATGTTTTCCCCTGTGGTTACATCATTTCGTGGCCTGGACAAAGCTGCCTGTCCCAGTGTGTGTTGGTTCCTTAGCCTGCATGCTCCTTATTACTGGTAAGCCCTCCCCTAGTCTGTGCCCACTTCCTTACGCTTAGTCTGTATCTGCAAGAACAGTGGTTGCAAGTTCTCAAGTAAATAGACACACACAAAATTGATTTAGTACATACAACAGAGTTGCCCTGATTGGACATAGACTACCTATTATATCAGGTGTTCACAGAAAGATGTGTATGTCACCGTGTAGATGTCACATTTGGGGCCACCTCTGAGGCTAAATGGAATCTGTTCTACTTCTAAGCCCAAGATCTCTTTCAATTTAGGGATGAAAATGAGAGCAGAAAAAAAAATCTATGAAATAGTATTGAATAGAGATACTGTCAAAAGAATAAAAACAGATCAATAGACCAAACCAATCAATCACTGACAACTATTTTTACTCTGGACACAGAGTCCTGAGGAAAAACACCGAAAAGAACAAAAATCTGTGTACACACACACACACACACACAAAATGGTGTTTCATCATGCCATATTATTAATACAAAATGAGAAGAGAGTGTAACATCTATTATCTGTTCTTTCTGCAAGTCCATATTACTCATTTCTCTTCATGTCTTTGAACTAATATCTACTTTGGAAAACATGTTCTTCCAAATCAGACCACTCTGAAATGGATAGACACATCAATCCAAGTGACCAGCATGCAAAAACAGCAAATTCGGGCATCGCTGAATTCACTTTTTGCTGCACTTACTGGTCTTTTGCCAATTCTCACCTACTTTGAAATACATTATCAGACATTAATTTTACCAAGTCCCATCCAAATAGCTGATTTTGACATTACATCATGCCGAAAATGGTGTGATCCTGACTTGTAAAACTCACTTTGGGCATTAGTGCTAATTAAAGCATATTACTGCTATTCAGTGAAAGGCTTGAATATGCATTTGAGGCTGAATAAGGCACAGGACTGAAAAATACACATGAGTAAGAGAGAATGAGTAAATCTCTATGAGGTAAGTATTTTAAAATATGCACTAAGGGTAAATTGAAGCAGGGAAGATCCATTTGTGCTATAAGGTCCTGGAGACAGCAATAAGGCTTTTAGAACCAACCATAAAAAAGGCAAGCAGCCAGGGAAATAAGAGAAGGTTGAGACTGGGAACCAACAGCAACCTGATGAAAGGAAGAAGCAAACATGCCTGTGTTGATGATTAATTGCTATTACTCCACCAAACAATACCGCTTCTTACAGGGAATGAATGGAAAAATGGACAATGCTACCCAGGCTGGACATGAATGAAAAAAATAGGACAATATAATGTCAGCCTGTGCAACTGGGATTTCTATAAACTTTCCTTATATAAAATATTTACTTACTATAATTTAAAATTATGAAATGGTTTTGAGATTTTTAATGCATGAAAATATACATAAAATGTTTTGTGTAAAAATTCAAGGTAAGAAGAAACTAGTATTAATGCCAGTTGAAAGTATAATAGGATAATTTAGAATAAAAGTACTTCTGCTTTAGCCTTTGGTATAAAATTATCAATGAAAAAAAAAAAAAAAAGACAGTGGTAAAACCAAAAAGTATTACAAATGGATTTTCATTCTAAAATATAACACTTAAACTGACTTACATAACTGTAGCGTTACATCAACTTAAGAGAGACGTCAATAGACTAGCATTAAACGGAAAAATAAAAGGCACACATAAAATATACAGAAGCAGGTTAAATGATACCTTTCTATAACATAATTTAAAAAAAAAAACCCTCCACATACGTTTATCCCTTTTCCTCAGTCAACTCACCCAACGTTTTCTGCATCTTCATCACACTCAGCCTTATATTTGCAAGGTCCACACTTGGAGTGTTTCCTGTGAGCTTCGGCCCCAGACCCTTCCTCTTCTGTTTAAAAAAAAAAATTAAATTTTCAACCAAGATTTGGGATCCCTCCCAGATAGGGTTCATATTTCAGCAGCAAATATTCTATTTCTGGGGGAAAGGTACCCCAGCTCTTGAAAACAATTACTTCCAAAATCTATCAATGATAAAGTCCAAGAAGTACAAGAATAAGTTGTACTTCTTAAAAGCAAGTATTGGTGCTGGCAAAATAACCCGCTAAATTATGCACAAAGGAGCAATATAGTAGGCTTTAATAATTAGTTCCCTTTATAAGAATTACCATATAACATTATTTAAGAGAGAGAGGGGGGAAAAAACAAGCAGTAATTTTAGTCCAGTGATTACTCTAACTACATAACTAATTCTAGAGTTTTAAAAAAATGCTCAAATTTCAAAAAGGAAAGGGGGTCTCTTTACAAAGGATGCACCCTTTTTTCTACTTTGCCACTAGAACAGCCAAAAACACCCAGAATGCAGAAGTGTGTGGGAATCCCATGACCCATCTCAAAAAAGCAATTAACTACCACCAGGACCCCAATTCACCTCACATCCCACATTTCAGGGAACCCTACATTTGTGGTCTCAATTTGAGTGGACCCTATCCTAATGATCTCACACTGGACAGAGAGATCCATTTTAAGGCCAATTCAGGGATTACTCTTTACTCAAGGAATTTCCCAATCTGGTTTGAGGGAAAAACACCTTACTCAAGGCATATCAATCAGTAAAAAGGTATTAAAAGGAAAGTACCCAAACTTAATGTGCCCTTTTGATAAAACTTCCAAGTTTTAGTGTCTGCCTATATTTTAAGTCCAGATTCTCATGAACCCTCCCGAACAGATTCCAGGAATCATAATCCTAAGTATCTCTAAGGCCCAGAAACATCATGAGATCTAGAAATCACGCAGACATCTTGAGCTCGCATATGTCTGTGTATTAATCTAAGCAAACCTCTCAGCCTTTCAAACACAACTCAGTTTACATTCACAGGGCAAGACATCCAATATCTGTACTGTATAAGCAAATCTTGAGATCAACTTCCATTTCTTTAATATAACAACGAGGACAGTTTCCTAATGAATGTCTGACCACATGGGCTAGAGCACGTGATCTCTTAAAATCCTTTCCAGCCCTAAGATCTGGAACTTATGACCTGACCTTTCACACATGATCATGGAGTTTCTGCTTAACTATATCCACTTAAATCCAGTTCTATTGTTCAGCAGCTATAATCATCTTTTTTTTTTTTTTTAAGCTGACACTGTCATACCTAACCTTCTTCCTCAGGACAGTTTTTCTATTCTCTAGGTGGCTTAAAATGCCTACCAAATGTAAAATGTTTGGATTCTATGAAACATGTAAGTCTGGAGTAAGGTTTTAAATCGTGTTGAGAGGATCACACTGTATTTGTTTCGTCTGCAGAAGTGTGAGCCTTACCAGTGAGTTTTCTGTTAGCGTGTCCCCATAGTACTTCAAACATTATTTTGGAGACAGTGGATACTCACTAAGAATCACAGCTTTATGAAACTATGAGATAGATTAGTCACTCTTAATTCTGACCATCCACAGTAAACTTGGTTATATGCTAATATCCCCAGATATTAGTTTCCTATAGCAGAAATAATTCACATATTTGTACAATAAAATCAAACCCAAACAGTAACATTTGAAAGGTTTAAACTTTAGAGTCACCGGAGTTTGTTCTGCAAGTCTTCTCTCTGCTGTGCACAACTCACCCTAGCGTTTTTGAAACCTGTGCCCTGAGAATTCCTTAGGGGTAAAACTGTGTAAGCATGGGGCGGGGAGAGTTACAAATACCCTGGTCCACGCTAAAACCACTGGTACAACCTCAGCTCAACAGGAGCTGCATTTCCCGTTCATCAATGTTCAGTGGGAAAATAACTGCCTGAAACAAAGATACCAGGCTAAAGGGGGTCAGAGGGACTGGAGGCAGGGGGTGGCTAAGGGTGGGGTTTTCCCTGGGATAATGAAAATGCTCTAAAATTGACTGTGGTGATGTACAACTCTGTGAACATACCAAACGCCACTGAAGTGTGCACTTTAAATGAGCAGACTGCATGGTATGTGAACTTTAGCTCAATAAAGCTATTTGGCAAAAGGAAAGAAAACAAATGCCCTTCACAAGGTACCTGAAACTTACCTCCTTCTCCAGATCCAGAGCCATTATCTGAGAGAGAAAAAAAAAAGAGTTATAGATGAACACTTCAAACAGGAATTTTCTTATCAAAAATCAAACTGGGAAATCCATTCTCGGGATGCCCTTTTCTCATTTTCTTTTTACTACCAACTAGGTATGTAGTTCATTCTTACATACCTAGTTTGTACCTTTCTCCAAATATTAATTCTTTGGACACATAACTACCCATACTTCAGACATCTTTGTAGCCCATTCAGGAAATATCCAGGGGCCTTGCACAGAGTAGAGACCAATGAATACTGTAAAGTAAATGGCTAAATGGAAAATATTTTAATGAACTCGCTTAAAACATAAAAGAAAAAATGAATTTGCTAAAGCTTGAGAGACATAAGGAAAACGCTGTTTTTACGAGGGAGGCAGGGAGGGAAAGAGCTTCGGGTCTTGCTCCAAATGTCTTCTTAATGAAATCTGTGGCTAAAAACCCAAAGCCAGAAGGTTAAGAAAAGCCCCAAGGTTCAGAAGGAAAACAAACCTCAGGATTGCGGTTTTCATATTCCTGATGAAACTGTAACTTCCTCTAGGGAGCCTAACCAGAAGGAATCTCACCAAGATGTGGGTGGGAGACTTGTTACTAGTGAAATGAAAAAGCCCAGGCTAAAATGTAATGAATGTAAAATACTGATTTTATAATCCTAAGAGAACCAACATATGGCACGGAGCACGCTGGAGGGAGGCGTGCTGTAGTATCGTCGGCGCCCAGCGGTACAATAGCAGAAACCGCCCGCCAGTAAGGAGCCTCACACTCGCTCAGCACTCTGCAGGGGGAGGCAACCTGGAGAGCCCACCAGCTCTGCACACAGTTCCCCGGCGTGGGAAACACCACCTGTGACAACACGGCTGCCTTCCCTCCCGTGCAGCTCCCTCCGACAGGAATCCCATTCCCAGACGGGGCAGACACTGGGAAAACGTATTTTATGTAGTGCCCATTGCAAAGTCTTCACGGGGTTTTATAGAAAGTCTTCAATTGAGCTCAATTTTGATTAATCAGCCATAAAAAAAATTATATCTTCTCTAAGTAATAAGGAAAATAAGGAGTAAAGCCGAGAGAGAGAGAGAGAGAGAGAGAGAGAGAGAGAGAGAGAGAGAGAGAGAAGAGGGGAACTCAATTTAAAACAGGGTTTATGACCAAAATTTCTCCAGAAACACACTCCCTTTTTCTTCTGTCCCACACTGATTGGGTGCATATAGTATACACTAGACAACATGGTAAATGTGAGGAATAAATTGATAAATAAGGCAGTCCCAGCCGATGAGATACTTAATCACTTCCAACCTTTTTATAATCCATATCCAATTTTTAAAAAAATAAAATACCTAATGCCTTCTTTTAGTGTTATTTAAAATTCCCCAATAAATTAAATACTGTTATAACTGCAGAGCCAGTTCAAGCTGGTCTTATCCTGTGCCTAACCAGATACCGAGTTGGCTTTTCAAAAACAACAGAACAAATCTATGTCCTGTAGCCGTAGCTCATGCAGAGGAGAGAATGCTGACCTTCAGTAAAACAAGAACCGAAGTTTCACATCCCTTGCCCCCAGCCCCACCCAAAGGGCTGAGACTGGACCAGAACTCAATCATGGGAATCCTTTCAGAAGCAAAGGGTCCAGGAAGATGCAGTGCTAAAGCTCTCCAACGGAAACCTGCCCCGCCAGCACTTCCACATCCAGCCCCTCCTACCCTAAATCATTACCTTCCACCCCAAACCCTCAGTGGGGAGACAGATTGGAGCCTTACCTCCTTGCCTGTGGACGTCCCAATAAAAACTCTTTTTTTTTTTTTTTTCCTGAAAAGCCAATGTCATAGTATTGGCTTCTATGCATGGGCAGCAAGCCATTGCTTGGGAACATCTTGAGTCCCCTGCTAATGAGGATGAGTTCTGTACTGTCAGTGTACACACGCCTTCCCCAGCCCACACAACTCCACCCACCCCTAGGATTATGAGGCACCCCCCTCGGTGGCGCGCTGCCTTCCAGGGGAGAAATAACTGACTGGCTAGAAACAGACACGTCAGATAAGTGACATACAGTGAGGCATGTACATAGAGATATGCACAAAGTGTGAACAAACATGGAAGAAAGATGTCACAGAGGAGCAAAGGCTTACCCTCGATCTTAAATCGTTAGGAGTTTTCAAGTAAACAAAAGAAAATGCTACTTTTAGCACAGGGAACGGGACCCATCAAAGAGCAAATGACAAGAATTAACACTGGCCCATCCAGCAAACAACAAAACTGATGCAGTACCTTGTAGCTGAGCTCATTCAAGCCTCATCTAGCTACCCCACGAGCTGATATCCATTTAACAATTTGGGGCTCCGAGTTTGGTGAAGGGACTCGTCCGAGTCATGCAATAAATAAGAGCTGGAGCTACTTGAAAGGCAGGTTTTTTCTAACCCTTATGCGGTGCTCTTTCCAATGTACCCCTCTGCCTTCTAATGTTTAACATTCACTGCCTATCTAAGCATTTGGTGTCCTAAATACACACTCTCCATAAATGACGCACAATTAATTGGGGACTGTAGAGAACTCCATATTCCTCTGTGTTCTCTAAGTCAAGTATGTGAAACACAACATATATAAGAACCACACCAAATGATAGTTAACTGGCCGAAGAACATAATCATTTCACTAAGTCCCTAATAATTTAGTGTTTGGAAAAGAATTTGGCCTTGTCCAAAGAGATGTCAGGCCTTTGCCCTCATTTCTGGAAGGTAGTTTATGCCATACCTTATAGAAGTGTCTCGTTTAGGAAAGGTACTGACCACATCAGATCATAGGTTGGGGCCTGCCACATTCAATAGTCTTTGGGTAAAAGGACCACCACGTAATTTAAAGTGGGGGCTTTGGAGTTTGAAATCAACCACACAGACAATCAATCAATCATGCTTCTGTAATGAAGGCCAAATAATAACTCTGAACATAGGCACTGTAATATGTGGGGAAAGAAAGGAATGGATACATCATCCTCTAAGGGAAGTCTATACCTTTACCGCTAACCCTCTTACAATAATTCTAATTACAATACCTCACCTTCATCACTGCCCCCAAATACAAATGTATGTAGGAAACTTATATTAATGCCTTCCAAAATAAACCACCACCCACTCAGTAAGGAAGCAAGAAGTAAATATAAACAAGTGGGAGGAGGGGGGTGACAAGGGTTGATAGACAGAAAAAGAAGATAGGAAAAGAAGAGCTTGGAAAGAGACACATGCTGGGAGCCACTAATGGCTTTCTATGAATATTCCCCACCCCTCCCGCCCACCAAAAATAAAAACCAACAAAATGGGGCCCATATCACGTTCTACCCTAATAGTCAAACCACAGGCAAAAGAAAAGCCAAGTCCCCACAAAAAAAAAAGGTGTTAAGCATCAAACGTATACTGAGAGGCTGCTACATGATCACTGGGGGGTTAATAAAATGAAAGGAATGGATATATCATCATATAAAGGTAGTCTCTACCTTTACTGCTAACCCTCATACAATAATTCTAATTACAATACCTCACCTTCATCACTGCCCCCTAATACAAATGCACATAGGAAACTCACATTTATGCCTTCCAAAATAAACCACCACCCATTCTTTCCCCCCCGCTCACTACCCGATTCCCACCAATCCATACAGCAGTTCTGAGGCTACACCTCTGACGGCAAACTTCCTTTTAGAAAATATGGCAGCACCATTTCTTGCATTTACTCAGAAGAATATCACAACATACCAGAGTAGCATGGTCCTCTTGCTACTACTGTAATCTCTTTCTGGTGCTTACAAGCAGCTCTTCTGAGAAAGCATTCATTTTGATACGTGTCCCCGTTTGATGCACAGACGGGAATGTAATTTGTATGGCACTACAAAACAAACAAAAAGAAATATCAGAAATAGGCATGAATGGGAATAGTTTATTTTGTATTCACGAGTGCAATGCCAGAGCAGTATGACACAATTCTAACTACAGGATAGTTTTTTCATTTATTTGGTTTAAAAAAAGAGTTCGACTACTTTCTCCTACCTTTCCCACATTCATAAGGAAAAGAACTATTAACTGCCCATAAAAGTAAGAATGAAAATCCCTTTCCTATCTACTTTATTTGCTTGCTATAAAGATCCAGTGAGATAATTTAAGAGGAAATTGTTGGCAGTGTTTATAACGAGTGCCAAAAATTAAATGTCTTTTTATTATGATCAAAATTCATGTATTCATACCTCTGGTACAGTCCCAAGGTAAATGCTATAGACGGCATAAAGAAAGACATGATCTTTGTTCTCAGAGGACTTTCCGCCATGTTAGAGCACCATACAAACAGAATATATATATATATTGGTGTCCTAAATACACACATATATATAGTTAATATTATTTTGTATCAGTTTCAGGTGCACAGCATAGGTTAGGTCATCACATACTTTACAAAGTGTTTCCCCCAAGCCCAGTTGGCGTGGCAGGTGGTTGCACATCAACCTATGAACCAGGAGGTAAGAATTCGAATTGTCCCAGTCAGCGCACAAGCCCAGGTTGCGGGCTTGATCCCAGTGTGGAGTGATCAGCTGATGGATGATCCTCTCTCATCATTGATATTTCTATCTACCTCTCTCTCCCTCTCCTTTCCTCTCCGAAATCAATATATATATAAATATATATATATATATATATATATATATATATATATATATATATATATGATTTTTAAAGTGTTTTCCCGATATTACCAGTACTCACCTGGCACCATACGTAGTTATTACAATATTGACTATATTCCCCATGCTGTACCTTACATTCTTGACTATTTTGTACTACCAATTTGTACTTCCTAATCCCTTCACCTTTTTCACCCAGTCGCCCAAACTCCTTTCCTCTGACAATATTCCATTTCTTCTAGGTATATATGAGTCTGTTTAAATTTCAAACAAAAATTTATTAGCATAAAAAAAGTAAAAACAATATAAAGCATGTTATATCTATTCAAGTAATTAATATTACACAGTCACTGAGAATTACCCTTTAAAAGAATACTGTGTGGCAGATAAAGGTAACATATTGTTAGATGTAAAGCAGGCAATCATACTCCATATATAAACTTCTGAGAACTTTGTGCCATTTTAAAATGTATTATTTAGTACACAAAACTGAATGCAACTTTTAAAATGTTATAAGTAAAAATACAGCAAGAAAATTATATACCATATATACATATATATTATATGTTCTCAATTAATTAGAAAAAATAAACATTCATAAAGCAAATCCTGGAACAAAGCATCAATAAGTTTTTTAGATTACCTGTCATGGTTTTTTTTATTTCCATTATTTTGTGTGTTCCTCAATTTTTCTCCAGTGCACAAGATTTACTTTTATCATTTATTTACTCTTAAATATGACATGCTACCACAGGTCAGACACTGGTAAAAACAATCTCTAATAAAATATTTTATGAGCAAGTTTGCATGCTATCCATTATCAGCAGACTCCTACAATAACTTCAATTAAAATCAAAGTTTTACTTTATTGCTCCAATTATTCATGAATCACATCCCTCTATTCTCTTCCCTTAAATTGTACATAACTTGTATGATGTCTGCTAGAGTCAATTTTTTTGTAATTAAACAATGCATAATTGTTTAATTGTAAAGGAGATCATAAGCTCCAAGTTGTCAAGTGCTAACTCTATGAACTTTTCAACCAACTTTTTGCTCAACAAATGCTTAATGATTTTTTAATGGTGTGCCCTCAAAGGTGTTAACAACGCCCTCTAGGCATAGACGCCCCTATGAAAGACTTTTTGGTTTGTTAGAATGATACCGTCATTTAGCAGAAAGATTTTTTGGTTATTACAATGATAAAGAACATACTGTCATTTAGCAGATGGATTCCATGAATGCTAGCTAGATGTATGTCCTGCAAAGGAAAAAACAGTACCACACAAGAAAGACACACACACACACCACCATATAATTTCTGAATGCTTCTCTAGCCATTCACATGGGAACTATGGCAAGACTTACTATAGATAAATAAGTACTATACTGCTATAACTTATCCTAATATTAGTTTTTATTCTAGCATCCACCATATTTCTACATTTTTGTTTTTAGATATTTCTGCTATAAAACTGCACTAATCTTTAGTAAATCAAAACATTCATTACAAGTAGATAGATATAAGCATGTGACTACTATATTGTCTTCTACTGTAATCATGCCCAAGCATTTACATGTTGAATAATTTATAGTAGGATAATTTTACTATAAATTTTTTATTCCTCCTTTACATTGCAATTATACAATATATTGATTTCTTTATTATGTGCTTATGTAGGTTGCATTATCTATAATTTCATTAAAGAACAGTAAAGAAACAGAATACAAATTATTGGTTATAAAGAAGGGTCATTAAGTCTGATAGGGCTGAAAATCTCTAAGGTAATAGCAAACATTTATTCAAGAGTTTACATCTAGTCAACACCAGTGACAAGTTATGTCCTATCTAACCTAAATATAACAATCCTGTGAAGCACAACTTAGTGCTTAGAGCCTAGGCTCTCATGTAAATGAGTTCCAATCCTGGGCCCACCATCTATGTGACTATGGGTTAACACTAGTGCCATTTTCCCCACCTGGAAAATGGTAATTATAATAATACCTAACTAATAAAGATGTTATGAGGATTAAATAAGAGATATTCATCTTTAGCATTTATATGTGGCCACAGTAAATTCTCAATAAACATTAGCTGGTTTGGGTATTGCTATTATCATTTCTGACTCAAGTAGGCCTGGGGTCATAGCTAATCAGTGGAAGATCTCATTCCTCACAATTGATATGCTCTACACAAGTCATATGTCACCTGGTGGTAGCAACAGAGGACTTCACATAGCCTGGGCAATGTCCCTCAAATTCAACCTAACAAGCTCAGACCTAGGCATGAGCATAGGATAGGAGGAGTGGCTATTCCTTAGTCAGTCCATTCCCAAGGGTCTTTCTTAGGAACCTCTCCCTTATGCTATGGGGAAATTAAGGGATGTGGGCAATTTTGGCATGGCAACTCCTGACTTAGGCACTGACTCTAGCCTAAGGTCTGCCTCCTCTATACTACCTCCCTTCCTGGAGAAAAGAACTCTCCACTATACTTTCTCTGGAGCTAAGGAAGAAAAAGTTTTTTAAATAGTTCAGAAAATAAGAAAATAATGTCGTGATGGTTGACTTAGGGCGTCAGTTGAGTGGGCCCCAGGTTGCCCAGATTAAACATTATTTCTGGATATGTCTGTGAGAGTGTTTCTAGATGAGATTCACATTTGAATCGACAAACTAAGTGCCCTCCTCATTATAGGTGGGATCATCCAACGCACTGAGGGCCTGAACAGAATGAAAGAGCGGAGGAAGAAAGAATTCCCTCTCTGCCTAACAACTGGATGGGAACATGCGTTAGTCTTCTTGTTCTTGGGTGTCCGCCTCAGACTGAGACTTCCATTAGCAGTTCACCTGACTCTCATATCTTCAGACCTGCACGGAACCAAGAGGAAGAAAGAAAACAGAGAGAACACCACAGGCACTCCTCTTCATATATTACCCAAGTTTTCATGGAAAGATGCTGTACTGATCATTTTTCTTGGTACCAAATTTATAAAAGTAGCTTTGTGTACATAATGTGGCAAAATGTCATAGCTCTTATTTGTAGACTAAAAAAAAATTGACTTTACTTAAAATCCTGTTATTTTTTGTTATAATTATATCCCTGAAAGCTTATATTAACACTGAAAAGCATCCTAAATCATAACCAAGTTTTTTAAATGAATTGAAAGATATAGCGAAAGCACCCTTTTATGTTTAACTGGCTTATGAGGTCGTTGTTCTTAAAGTGGCAAGAGTCTAAGTCATTTATAAGCTTATAAGGAGGCTGAGTAGTAGTCAAAGGAAGTAGCCAAAGTAACAGGATCAAATCAGCTGTAAGCCCTTAGGCAGTTTGCTCTTATAAGGCAAGGGACTTTAAACATCTTTATATCCTCAGCCTCGCACGTAGCACAAAGCAAGCCCTGGATAAATGTCTACTGCTCTCAACTCCTAACTTCTATTTCCCTTCCCTTCTTTGCCACCAGTAAGAATACAAGGGATTCAGACAGATCATGAGAGGATTCTCTAGCCGTCCGAGCATTTTGAAATGGTCAAACACACTATGTTTTTATGAGTTGCAGGGAAAGACGTTCAAAAAATGAAAATCAAAATCATGAAGACAAAAATAGACAAATATGATGTGAAAATGTAATACTATCAAAAATGAAAGTGACAATAGGGTAACTTCTTTAAAATACAGAGTTCTTTCCTGTAATCTAAAGGGAAAGGGAGCCATCTCTAAAAGTAAGCCTACTAAATGCTTGAAATCAGGCAGTGCCCTCCATGGTCCCGGACCTGTCTCCTGCTTCAACAGTGTTTGGACAGAACAGACCCAGGGACGCCCCTTCTCCAGTCTCCGGCCGCTCTCCTGCGTCTTTTACAGTCACCACCTTCACAACCACCTCCGGGACCAGCCAACACACCGGGTTTTTGTCTACCTTAGCTCCTTATTGCCGAACAGCCGTGAGCTCCCAAATTCGTCACAATTATTGCACCGAGGTGGAGGCTGCAGTCAACCGCCTGGCCAACCCACATCTAGCACAGCTACCTCTCTCTGGGCTGCTATTTTGACCATGAGGGGTGGCTCTTGAGGGCGTGGGCTGCTTCTTCCACAAGTTGGCAGAGAAGAAGCGCGAGGGCACTGGGCATTTCTTAAAGGTGCAAAACCAGCACGGTGGCCACATTCTCTTCCAGGACGTGCTGAGGCCTCCCCAGATGAGTGGGCAAAACTCAGGACACCATGAAGGCCGCCTTGGCCTTGGAGAGGACCCTGATCCAGGCCCTTTTGGGTTCAACCCTCCCACCTCATCACTGTGACTTCCCAGAGAACCACTTCCTGGGTGAGGAGGTGAAACTCATCAAGACGATGGGCAACAACACCTGGTTCACATCCTGGCTCACCGCCGCAGGCTGCCGGCCCCCAGGCTGGGCTGGGCGAGAATCTCCTCGAAAGGCTCACCCTCAGGCACCATGAGGAGCCTTTGGAGCCCAGAGGCCTTTGAGGGGACCCTCTGCATCCCCTGGTGTCTGGCTTTTACCTGAGCCTCTCCCCGAAACTACTAGCCATTCTTTTAACCACCCTGAAGCCATCTCCATGCATTGGACCAAATGAGACAATAAAGCTTTTTATAGAAAGAAAGAAAGAAAGAAAGAAAGAAAGAAAGAAAGAAAGAAAGAAAGAAAGAAAGAAAAGAAAGAAAAGAAAGAAAAGAAAGAAAAGAAAGAAAAGAAAGAAAAGAAAGAAAAGAAAGAAAGAAAGAAAGAAAGAAAGAAAGAAAGAAAGAAAGAAAGAAAGAAAGAAGGGAGGGAGGGAGGGAGGGAGGGAGGGAGGGAGGGAGGGAGGGAGGGAGGGAGGGAGGGAGGGAGGGAGGGAGGGAGGGAGGGAAGGAAGAAAGACAAATTGGTATAAGTCAGACTATTTCTAGAAGGAAATACAAAAAGTAATAGATGTTGCCTCTGAAAAAAGCAATTGGTAATCTGTAATGGTAGGAAGACATTTTCTTTATAGTATGTACTAGAGGCCCGGTGAATGAATTCGTGCACTGATGGGGTCCCTCGGCCTAGCCAGTGATCAGGGTGATCAGGGCCATTTCACCCAGACCCAGTCGAAGCCAATGGGGGCCGGCCAGCCAGGGAGGGACCACAGAAAGGCTCCAGTCCTGATCAGCTGGACCCAGCAGCAAGCTAACCTTCTGGTCAAAGCATCTGCCCCCTGGTGGTCAGTGCGCATCATAGCGACTGATGAACCAATCCTTCAGACACCTAACATATTTCGCTTTTATTATATAGGATATTCTTATATGTTGTTCAAGTTGTTTACTATGAGCATATGGTATTGCTCTTTTAAAAATATCAAAACAGTACCTATGTGTAGATTCTCGTGAGATTATACAAATTTTTATATATATTATATATATAATGTTTAGAACAGTTAATGAATAAAATGCTCAGCACAGTAAATAATATATAAGTGCTCAAATAATGCATTGTATATCATGTACCCACATACATATACATATGTATAACACACACACACATATATATACCACTTTTTTGGGGGAAAAGAAAATACTCCCCAAATAGGCAAAGAATATGAAATATTAAGTCACAAAAACGTAGCCAGTAAATATTAAACATTTTTAATAGCTCTGGTTATCAAATTAAAATGTTTCTTGCCTTTCAGATTTATAAAATGTAAAAGGACTTAAAAATCTACTACCCACAAGCCAAGGAGAAATAAGCAGTCTAATATTGCTATTGATAAAAATGTTAATCTGACCATAAACATCCCATTCACTCAACACTTCCACATCAAGGAATTTAATCTAAGGAAATAAGAAGACAATTGGAAGAGGGAAACAGTTCCAGTCTTCTTGATACAGGTAGCTAAAACACTAATTAAAAAACAACTACAATCTTCTTGGGTTGCAGAATCAGAGGTCAGAGTTCAGGACAACTGAAAAGTGAGAGAGAAAATACCTGAAAGGAGAATCAGAGGGGAGTCCAGCTTCTGTTTACAAACTCAGACCCAATCTCGGGCTGACTTCTGAACCACCCATGGGGCATATCTCAAGCCGCCATGCTCAGGCTAAAAAAAAATGGACTGATTTTTGTGTTGTTGCCAAAACAGGGAAAACAAGATTTTGCCATCTGAGTTCAGCCAATTCTACTGTTTCATAAATGAAACGGTGGTTATGATTAGAACAAGATTATGATGAGGGTGAGGGGGAATTCTTGCTCCTCTGTTTCAGCTGAAATCCTGAATCAGGAACCATCCTGTGAGCAACATTCTAAAAACAGATTATAATTCAATCATATAAAATGAACAAAAAAAAACACAACTGAGTGTAACACATTTTGCTTCCTTTTTTTAAAATATATTTTTATTGATTTAAGGGAGGGAGGGAGAAAGGGAAGAAGAGAGAGAGAGAGACATCAAATGATGAGAGTGAATCATTGATCAGCTGCCTTCTGCACACCCCACACCAAGTTCGAGCCAGCAACCCAGGCATGTGACCTGACTGAGAATCAAATCATGACCTTCTGGTTCATAGATCAATGCGCAAACACTGAGCAAATCTAGCCGGACCTGCTTCCTTTCTTTTTAAACAATAGTATTACAACTAAAACAGCACCTGAAAAGCAAAGATCTTAGACCGAAGTTACCCCTTCTAGTCCATCTCTATCCGTGACCTACCCTCGGGCATCAAGTCAGTGATGTTCTTTGGCCTAAAAAGATGAGAAAGCAGCAAATAAGGAAGGAAAGAAATGCCCACTCAACCTCAACCTGCACTCTGTTGCCCTTCGGTGCCAATTATACATTTGAATAAAACGTTAATATTTTTTCAAAGCATCTTCACGTCTGCGATGGCCAGTCTCTCCATTTACTAGTAGTTCCAGGAAAGAAGCACAGAAGGTGATAGCCCTTCATCGGGTAAGAAAGAATTCGTGGGCTGTGGGCCCAACTTCCTTGTGAGGTCCAACGTGTTTTAAACTTTGTAATTTGAAGAATGAAGAATTATAAAACATGAGAAATGTAAAAAAGATTTCAAGACAGGGTTGGGTTTTCTCACCTGAAATTGACACGCACACTTCAAACCATCTCCATCTTCTTTACAGACGCCTCCATATTTACATGATGATTCATCACAAACTCTTCCATCAGCCTCCCTCACATTCAGTTCTGTAAAAGAGGAAAAATTGTTTCATACATATGCGTTTGTCTTTTTGTAACAAAATATACACCTATAAGTAAGTGAAAAAGAAATCCTTAAAATTATAGAGCATTTCATTTACAAGAGTAATAATAATAATAATAATACACAAAAAGCAAGTTCTGTAGGACACAAAATGTTCAGGATTCCCCAATGAGAATCTTGCATAAGAAAATGCAAGTAATCCAAACCAAACTAAAAAGCAAGATTTAAATTTCAGAATTTCACGTAATTCCAAAGGTAAATCAACAATTTTTCTATTTTTGGACTCCCAAGACCTTAGGGTAATCATCTTAGATTGTTTTAATATTTTAAATTATTTTTTTAATGATTACTACTTTTAAGGATAACAAATAACTACACAATGTGTACAAATATGAGTTCATTATGTTGTACCTGAAACTAATATATCAATTAAGCCTCAATAAAAAAATTAAAAAGAAAAAAAAAAAGACAAGTGACATCCAGAGTAACATCATTTATACAAATCTCTAAACCCATGAAAAATCAAACATTGTTTTGTTTAGGGGTATTCTTTTATTAGATGATAAAAATATTACATGACAAGATTTTGAGCATTTTCAATCATCATTTAAGAAGTCAGAAAAGATAAAAGAGAAAATGGAATAAAAGTAACTAAAAGGAATAATAATTATTGTATCTAGAATAAATTTAGGGTGATCATTATTTACTCTAGACAAATAAACCACTTTAATTACAAAGAAATTATAAAGTGAACTTGAATTTCAAACAATAGGTCAATGTGGAACATTTATGTGCACAAAATTAAAGAGATTCAAAATCTATCAGACTTAAAAATTTTTAATCACTGATTTAATTTTTTTTTCTACTACAGGAAACACAACCAACACTAGCATTCTGTGGTCATTCTGCTCCTACTCCAAGACTGTCAGTCTTGCTCTAAAAGCGTCAAATTAAGGTTTCCAGGAAACCAAATAAATTGCTTCAAGGTGGGCTATGTAACGCTGCCAATCATGCGGAATTGGGTAAAAACCACCACAAAGCAATTTTCACATTTTGCACGTGGGGAAGGAGGGCTACAACAAAACGCTTTTATGCAAACAATAAACAAATGATCGTTTAGGAAACACATCCTGGTGCAGCGAGAGCAGAGAGGCCGAAGTCAGCTTCTGACTGACACGCAGAGCTGGAACCCTGGGGAGGGCACGGCCTCCTGCAGCTCTAGACCAAGGTGCGGTCTTCGCAAGCAGATCTCGGGGAGCAACTCCCCAGCAGCAGTTCTCCAGCGACCCCTCATCCCTAGAGGAGCTAGAAGTCCCATCTTAATAGGAAAAGGTTGAGGTCAACCAAAGGACTTGTGTACATGCCTGTAAGCCTAGCCAGTGGTCACGGACAACAGGGGGGTGGGGACAGTAATGGGGAGGGGTTTGGGATGGGAATGGGGGGATGAGGACAAATATGTGATACCTTAATCAATAAAGAAATTTAAAAAAAAATAAAACATATATGCCAGGAGGGGGAAGGAAAAGGTAGAAGTCATGAAATGCTGATTACCTGATTATTAATTATTTTACTTTATGCCTATCCTGCTATCAAATCCATGTTATTTTCCTATGGTAATGTATTAAGTGTGGTTATTTATTTGATCAGAAGCAATTAATTATCTACTGTGTAACTAGTCCTATACTAAGAATTTGGTACTCAGAAAAACACATAAGAGGGAGTGTATGATCTTGCTAACATATGGAGCAATTAGTGATGAATTCAATGTAGCCTACAATAAAGAGGAGAGCTGTGTAATACAGACTGTGACTGCTCTTGAAATTTCAAGAAGTAGGAAATTTAAAAAAAAAATAGATTTGAAGTACAGTGTGCAATGTCAGAGATGGTAAGACTTGCATTGGTCTTGAAAAATTCTTAAGACCCTTATTCTGATTATAAAACTAATATAGGCAAAGCCGGTGTGGCTTAGTGGCTGAGCATCAACCTATGAACCAGAAGATCACAGTTCAATTCCCAGTCAGGATCCCCAGTGTGGGGTGTGCAGGAGGCAGTTGATCAATGGTTCTCTCTCATCATTGATGTTTCTCTCTCTCACTCTTTCCTTTCTTCTCTGAAATCATTAAATATGTGTTTTAAAATAATACAGGATCGTTATACAGAATTTAGAAAATATGTTTAAACATAAAGAATGTTTGAATTGCCCTTAATATGTGAGTCATATCAAAAGAGAGAAAAGAATGTTCTTATCTAAGAAAACAACCTTAGTAAAAGAGACATACATCATTTAATAGTATTATACACACAAATATTAATGTCAGTGGTTCCCAAACTATAGATATTAGGAAAACTAGTGTCACAGACTAGCATGCACCTTCTTCTTTTAAAAAAGTTAGAATTGCCGAAGCCGGTTTGGCTCAGTGGTAGAGCATCGGTCTGCGGACTGAAAGGTCCCAGGTTCGATTCTAATCAAGGGCACGTACCTTGGTTGCGGGCACATCCCCGGTGGGGGGTGTGCAAGAGGCAGCTGGTCGATGTTTCTCTCTCATCGACGTTTCTAGCTTTCTATCTCTCTCCCTTTCTCTCTGTTAAAAATCAATAAAAAAAATATATTTAAAAAAATAAAGTAAGAATTTCATTTCCTCAATGGAAAGAATTTTCTCATTTTAGAGTTTTCTTAGCTTATATTTCTAAACTGTCAACATTTGAGATTGCTAGCTGTCAACAAAACTAAGATTCGACAAGTAAAGAATATTAATCGAAAATTCCAGCAGTGTTTTACAAGAACACATCCTCCTGAATGTCACCAGGTCATGAATGTACCTTTTGACTTGTGGTAGTCACTGCTAATGGCCTACTTTGAATCTATTCTCCCCTTCTTACTTAATAAGGGAACCTCGATTTTGTCCAGGGGGGGAAAAGGTACTCAGCTAAATAATCTGTATTTCCCAGATTGCCTCACTCCATGCCAAGTTCCAAGTAAGCACTGCCCCTTCCTCCCTCATTCTTCCATTCTGCTTCCTGCCCGGAGAACAGACCTGTGCCCACGGTGATGGCCGCTATCTTACATGAAAGCAGATGAAAGCTACAAGTTAAAGAGAATTAGGGGAGTCACCACCATTACCCTGATTTCATCCCTCCAGACTTACTGTGATAATAAATAAACACAAAAAGAAAGCCCTTATTCAAGCCACCTGTAATTAAACACAATCCTGATATAACGATTGCATATAAATTTAATCAAGGTAACTTCCGAGCAAACGTCTTTTTTTTTAAATATATTTTATTGATTTTTTACAGAAAGGAAGGGAGAGAGATAGAGAGCTAGAAACGTCGATGAGAGAGAAACATCGACCAGCTGCCTCCTGCACACCCCCCACCTGGGATGTGCCCACAACCAATGTACATGCCCTTGACCGGAATTGAACATGGGACCTTTCAGTCCACAGACCGACGCTCTACCATTGAGCCAAACTGGTTTCGGCCGGAGCAAAAGTCTTAAGTGTATGCTATGGCATGTAATAAAATTGATTTATCGAGACCATCATGACTTCCTGGTGCTCTGATTCCTCACACATAGGAGAAGCACAGCCTCAGCTCAAACTCAGAACAGGAGGAATTCTATTTTGGGGTCACCTTCGGAACGTTATTTCAAGTATTCTGTGCAAGAGCAGCCATCAGTGGGGGACTCTACTCCCAGTCAGCGGTGATGATGATTACACACCTGCCTTCCGGAGCCCAAGGTGGGCACTCAGCAGAATAGATGAGCCATTACTGACGCCCTCAAAACTCAGCTCTCCAAGTAGAAATATTTCACACAAAGAAGCGCTCAGAAGAAAGAGTGGCTCTAAACAGAAATATTTTTGCTTTGGTTGCAAATCTGCCCATCACACAACTCTCTACAGGTAAGACGTGTTTCCATTTTTATTAGCATTTCAAAAGCTGGGAAAACAATACACAGTAGGGGAAGGACCCTCCTTACCCATGCACCTGAGGTGTCAAAATCCCTAACTTGTGGCAGCACTAACTGGATTCAGGCAGCAGTTCAAAAGGGGACCCGCTGGCCCCCTAGAATAGTACGTATGGCTTTTTCTGCCTCCCTGCCATTAAGAGAGTGCAGTTCTGGGGATCTGAGGAGTTAACTAACACAGCGAGCCCAAAGTGATTAAATCATGCAAGCTATTATTGCAGAATTCAGGGCTTCTCAACCTGGGCACCGCCAACATTTTGGGTCAGATTCTTCTTTGTCGCAGGGGACTCTCCTGTGCACGAGAGGGTGTTTAGCAACCTCTAGCCATGAGATGCCAGCTATGACATTTCACAAAAGTGAAAATAAATTGTGTGAGGGACATTGTATAGATTATCACTTAGTAGTTATTGTATTCTTTCCCATACGAACATGTGTAAACCTATTTTTGCTCACGCTGTCCATAAAAATGTTCTGCCCTCAGCCATCCCATTATGTTGTCTCACCTTGTCTCTCCTTCCTCAGCAGTCTCATCCACTCCCACCGCTCTGAGCCTTCAAATCTGGTTTCCCCAACCTTATTAAAGCCATCTCATCTGTGTTAGCCCATGCTATTTCCAGTCTCCAGAGCCGACTGGGGAAAGCCCTATAAATTAATGCTATCAAAGTACTTATCAACATGTGGAAATCTTTAGTGCACTTCTAAGTGATTCCTTATTGACTCCCCACAGGACACATTCAAACTTTTTACCTTGTTCTTCAGAATAACCCCATTTCAATGGATTTAAACACATTGTTGAGATGTTACTTGGGAAACCTTCCATTTTTTAGAAAAGCACAGCAATCCAACCTGACAGGACCCCTGCAAGAAGGTTTCACTCCCAAAACAAGTCCAGCTTTTTCCTGACCCTGCAGCCAATTGTCTAGAAGACAGTTCCACCTTCTCTACACTGAAAACACATTCAAAATATTTAAGCATTCATTAAACCAGGAAATGGTGTGGTACAACCATGGAATATTA